CCCCCAACACACACACAAACAAGTAGGTGGTCAAGAAAGTACAAGGAAGCTTAATGCCACTTGCAATTACTACAAATTGCACAAAAGGCAAACTAGATACCTATTGATTTAACCCTAAAAGAAGATGAATACGTTATCTTATACTAAACTTTCATTTTCTTGAAAATAAATTTAAAAATTACCTTTCAAGCTCTATATAAAGCCCTCCTTAGTTGATTTGCACTTCACTCAAACTTAGAACTCTATCCCACGACAAAATTTTATTGAATTTTGAATTTCTTCTCAGTATTACTCTCGTTAACTTCAAAATGGAAAAATTTAGCATTTCCTTGCTGCCAATGCTACTCGTATTTTTCAATAACATTCTTCAAATGGCAGAATCTGCTGCTGCACAAAACCCTAAAGCCGCAGATTTCATCAAGACCTCCTGCAGTGCCACTCGCTATCCTGCGCTGTGTGTGGACTGTCTCGCCAGCTATGCAAGTACAGTTCAACAAAACGAGCAGCAACTGGCTAATGCCTCCTTGGAAGTCAGCTTATCTCGAGCTCAAGCCGCCTCAAATTTTGTTTACGGGCTATCCAAACTTAAGGGCATAAAACAAAGAGAATACCTAGCAGTAAAAGACTGCATACAGAACATGGGAGACACAGTGGCTCAGCTTAGCCAGTCGTTGAAGGAGCTCGGTGGGATGCGTACTCTAGCAGGCCAAAACTTTTTTTGGCATGTTGGCAATGTGAAGACATGGGTTAGTGCTGCTTTAACTAATGAAAACATTTGTCTTGATGGGTTCTCGAGTCCTGCCATGGATGGAAATGTGAAGATCTCAATAAGGAGAAGAGTATTGAATTGTGCACAAGTCACTAGTAATGCACTTGCCTTGGTTAACCGCTTTGCAGCAAGACATAAAGCTGGTGGCTTACCTTGAGTACGTGTTTGATATATAATATTAGATCGTGCTGTACAAGAGAAGGGATTTCAACTTCTTTTTTGTCTTTAATCTTGTTTAGTGCAATCTAGTTTAGTAATCCTAATATTCCAAAACGTAGTTGGCTTGTGTGTGGACGTTAGTTGAAAAGCTGAAGTATTTTGAATGTATCATAACACCTACGTGAAACTTGACTTTCATAAGTTTTTTATGTGTGATTTATTCTTCAACTTTTAATTTAATTATGTTCAATTTTTTTATATATTATGTAAATGCTAAAGAATAACAAACCAGAGAAGCCATAAAGATTCGTGATTCAATAACATATTCAAAAACCTTTCCATATGTCAACTGACTCCTACATCGATTTTCTGGCAACATCGTTGGAAATAGTTGGAAGTAGATAATGGACTTTGTAGCCCATTAGTTTACAAGAAAAATGTATTAGATTTATTTGACAGCTTTTATAAACTTTCATCCACACTTTTAATCAGTTTTATCAAAAATTTCGTGATATTACAAGCCTTATTTTTATTTCATTTAACCTTTAAATCTAGTTGAAGAACAGACAAGGAACTAATGACATTAGCAATAGCAAAATAAGTAGCTTCCACGATCTACATGTTTTATTTTGTAAAAATTGTACACGCAGGAACCACAAACATATTGGTAGGGATTTATATCAGATTTTTAGCAGATATTGATAATAGTTAGATGAAATGTGTGTATGTGATTAAAATTAATTATTATATGTTACTTAAATTAAAACTTTAATTTTAATTTCCATTCAAGGCCATAGTTACACAGTACAACACAACATAAACAAAACAACTATAAGCACATCCAACAGTTCTGGGTAATGGGCAAACAAATTTTCATTTTCATGCTTCTTGTTGTTGGGGCCCATCACCATGACTATCATCTGTTCCATGTGAAGTTTTAAACTCATAACTCCCTTCTCCTCAAGCATCGTGCTCCGTCCATTTCACCTCAATCGCCTTCGGTTTCTTCTGTTCCGATGACAGCTTTTCTCCACGATCACTGTCAGTATCCCCATCTTGACAAACAACACCGTTGGAAAAAACGAGTCATGGGTTCATGTAGGGTGACCCGACCCACAAGATATCAAAAGTTGAGGGGAAGGAATGTTTTGAATGGAATTCAAATTCACTACTTCCCTAACTTCTTACAACCTCCTAATTGATGTT